GGATTCAAAGAATAATGGAGCGAATCGTTTGCTTTCATTACCACTGAGGAAGGATTGCCTGCATGTTTGCTTTGGAAGGAGAAGCTGTCAAATAATAAAAAGAGTGATTAGGAAAGGCATTTCCAGGGAAATCTGCAGCCCACCGAGCTGGGAGGAGAGAAAAGGAGCGATTGAAGAACTTCTGGATAAATTAGAGGAGAGCAAAGATGGGTTTCTTGATTGCATCTCCAAACTCCTGCTGCTAGTTTGGTTGAAGCATAGAAAACCCTTCATAGATCCAACCGTGCAGTGAAGCGGCGAGCAGTGCGCAAGCGGTGATGCGTTCTCAGCAGAGTCACATGATGTGACATTTGCTCCAGGATTTAATGAATGCTTATTATATATTTAACGTAGTCCTTCCTCTAGTGGGCTGAAACACTTAGAGCCGCGTTGCTAGACGACACTGATAGAACACTTTCACTTTTTTGTAGCTTCATTTAATTTTTTTGTTTTTTTTTTATCCAGTAGGCTCTTTGAACAGTTTAGGTTGCCGACGCCTGAGCTAGATACACCCATCTAGATACGCCCGCCTAGAAACGCCTGCCTAATAAAGCCTGCCTAGAAACGCCTGCCTAGAAACGCCTGCCTAGAAACGCCCACCTAGATACGCCCACCTAGATACGCCTGACTAGATACTCCTTCCTAGAAACGGCTGCCTAAATACACCCGCCTAGATACACCCGCCTAGAAACGCCAGCCAAGAAACGCCAGCCTAGAAACGCCTGACTAGATACGCCTGACTAGATACGCCTTCCTAGAAACGGCTGCCTAAATACGCCCTCCTAGAAACACCCATCTAGAAACGCCTACCTAGAAACGCCCACCTAGAAACGCCCACCTAGATACACCAGCCTAGAAACGCCTACCTAGAAACGCCCGCCTAGATACGCCTTCCTAGACACAGCTGCCTAAATACGCCCTCCTAGAAACACCCATCTAGAAACGCCTACCTAGAAACGCCCACCTAGATACACCAGCCTAGAAACGCCTACCTAGAAACGCCCGCCTAGATACGCCTGCCTAGAAACGCCCGCCTAGATACGCCCACCTAGATACACCAGCCTAGAAACGCCTACCTAGAAACGCCCGCCTAGATATGCCTGCCTAGAAACACTTGGTAAAAAACGCCTGGCTAGAAACGCCCGCCTAGATACGCCTGCCTAGAAACGCCCGCCTAGATACGCCTGCCTAGAAACGCCCGCCTAGAAACGCCCACCTAGATACACCAGCCTAGAAACGCCCGCCTAGAAACGCCCACCTACATACACCAGCCTAGAAACGCCCGCCTAGAAACGCCCACCTAGATACACCAGCCTAGAAACGCCCGCCTAGAAACGCCCACCTACATACACCAGCCTAGAAACGCCTACCTAGAAACGCCCGCCTAGATACGCCTGCCTAGAAACACTTGGTAAAAAACGCCTGGCTAGAAACGCCCGCCTAGATACGCCTGCCTAGAAACGCCTGCCTAGAAACGCCCGCCTAGATACGCCCGCCTAGATACGCCTGCCTAGAAACGCCCGCCTAGATACGCCTGCCTAGAAACGCCCGCCTAGATACGCCTGCCTAGAAACGCCTGCCTAGAAACGCCCGCCTAGATACGCCCGCCTAGATACGCCTGCCTAGAAACGCCCGCCTAGATACACCAGCCTAGAAACGCCCGCCTAGATACGCCTGCCTAGAAACGCCTGCCTAGAAACGCCCGCCTAGATACGCCCGCCTAGATACGCCTGCCTAGAAACGCCCGCCTAGATACGCCTGCCTAGAAACGCCCGCCTAGATACGCCTGCCTAGAAACGCCTGCCTAGATACGCCTGCCTAGAAACACTTGGTAAAAAACGCCTGGCTAGAAACGCCCGCCTAGATACGCCCACCTAGATACACCAGCCTAGAAACGCCTGCCTAGAAACGCCCGCCTAGATACGCCTGCCTAGATACACCAGCCTAGAAACGCCCGCCTAGATACGCCTGCCTAGAAACGCCTGCCTAGAAACGCCCGCCTAGATACGCCCGCCTAGATACGCCTGCCTAGAAACGCCCGCCTAGATACGCCTGCCTAGAAACGCCCGCCTAGATACGCCTGCCTAGAAACGCCTGCCTAGATACGCCTGCCTAGAAACACTTGGTAAAAAACGCCTGGCTAGAAACGCCCGCCTAGATACGCCCACCTAGATACACCAGCCTAGAAACGCCTGCCTAGAAACGCCCGCCTAGATACGCCTGCCTAGATACACCAGCCTAGAAACGCCTGCCTAGAAACGCCCGCCTAGATACGCCCGCCTAGATACGCCTGCCTAGAAACGCCCGCCTAGATACGCCTGCCTAGAAACGCCCGCCTAGATACGCCTGCCTAGAAACGCCCGCCTAGAAACGCCCGCCTAGAAACGCCCGCCTAGATACGCCTGCCTAGAAACGCCCGCCTAGATACGCCCGCCTAAAAACGCCCGCCTAGAAGCGCCTGCCTAGTAACGCCCGCCTAGATACGCCTGCCTAGAAACGCCCGCCTAGAAACGCCCGCCTAGAAACGCCCGCCTAGAAACGCCTGCCTAGTAACGCCCGCCTAGATACGCCTGCCTAGAAACGCCCGCCTAGATACGCCTGCCTAGAAACGCCCGCCTACATACGCCTGCCTAGAAACGCCTGCCTAGATACGCTAGCCTACATACGCCCGCCTAGAAACGCCCGCCTAGAAATGCCTGCCTAGTAACGCCCGCCTAGAAACGCCCGCCTAGATACGCCCGCCTAGAAACGCTCGCCTAGAAACGCCCGCCTAGAAACGCCCGCCTAGTAACGCCCGCCTAGAAACGCCCGCCTAGAAACGCCCGCCTAGAAACGCCCGCCTAGAAACGCCCGCCTAGATACGCCTGCCTAGAAACGCCTGCCTAGAAACGCCCGCCTAGATACGCCTGCCTAGAAATGCCCGCCTAGTAACGCCCGCCTAGAAACGCCCGCCTAGAAACGCCCGCCTAGAAACGCCCGCCTAGTAACGCCCGCCTAGAAACGCCCGCCTAGTAACGCCCGCCTAGAAACGCCCGCCTAGAAACGCCCGCCTAGTAACGCCCGCCTAGAAACGCCCGCCTAGTAACGCCCGCCTAGTAACGCCCGCCTAGAAACGCCCGCCTAGAAATGCCCGCCTAGTAACGCCCGCCTAGAAATGCCTGCCTAGTAACGCCCGCCTAGAAACGCCTGCCTAGTAACGCCCGCCAGAAACGCCTGCCTAGTAACGCCCGCCTAGAAACGCCCGCCTAGTAACGCCCGCCTAGAAACGCCCGCCTAGTAACGCCCGCCTAGAAACGCCCGCCTAGAAACACTCAGAGATCAGAGGTGGATTCGGGGACAGCAGCTGGATCTTTAGGTTCTGTTATAAACAGCTTTCATCATCTCTGGGTTAGAATAAAGTTTTTTCCTCAGTCGGTTGGAGCCGTTAAACTTTGTCCTCCCAGGTTTTATAGCGGCTCTATTTCTCTGGATCTGTGGTTTTTCATTCTAGATGCGGATTCCTCCAGTCCAGGTTCCACAGAAGCACCAAGATCAGTAGAAACGACGAGGCCTCCATGTCTGACCTGGAGCAGATCAAGCATCAGGCCTGATCTACAGCTGCTGCTGCTGCAGACTGGCCCTTTGATAAAGGAGGAGGTGTCAGAGCAGCATACGCCGTCAGGTCGCCATACATCGATCTGATTCGCTTTAGAGCAACAGGAAATGATTCCCACTTTGAATTATAGCAGCAGTTTACCGACCTGCAAAAACACTTTTAATAAGAAAGCAGCTTTGATTCTGCTGTCAGTTACTGGATGCAGAAACAGTCAGATGTGACTGAGAGAAGAAGCCTCCATAGATAAAACCATTTTAGGCAATATTCATCTAAATACGTTACTTTAGTAGTAAACACGTGCACGCAGGAATTTAAACTAGATTAGATTTATTTTCATGTTTAAAGTCCTAGAAAACATTGACTGTGGTTTAAATTGGGACTTAGAATTAGTTAGGGCTAGATAAAAAAAAAATAAAAATAAAGAAGTGTATGCTGATCTGACAGAACTCCACTTCTGCTGATTGCTAAATGGAGCCTTTACAGAGAAAAAAAAAACTGACGGACCTGAACGCATCATTTTCTGCCCACATGACCCCATGTGACCCCCCTCCTGCTGAAGCGCGAGGTGAGCAGAGGTAGTCCCACCTGAGAGGCAGGCAGGCAGGCAGGCAGGCAGACAGGCAGGCAGGCCTGCCTGCAGCGGCTGCTCCACCTTCAGATGTTCAGAAGCCAAAAAGCTGCAGCTGTTGAAGCGGAAACCAGAGAGCCGGGAACTGCTGGAAGAGTTGGAATATGAACCGTAGGATCCACAAAGAGAACGTTCACGGGCCCAAAACCAACTCTAAAAGCGTTCAGAGAAAGCTAGTCCGGTGCATTCACCCACGGAACTCCATGCTAAAAACGGCCGATTGTAGCTCCCATGCTTTTAATAGACATCCAGCAAACATCCTCAACAAATAAAGCTGGGCTGAGATATTTTACTAACAAGTCTGACATTCGGCCTCCTTAAAATAAGCTAGAAGTTGCAAAAACGAGATAGGAAACCAGAACTCAACCTTTACTTCGACTATAACTCGGGGACTACAACTTGCCACCTTTGCAGCGTTAAAACGCATTCATTTTCTAAAAAAACAGGATATAAAGAGGCATCTGAAAAATATCAAGTATCCCGAACCATAAAGTATGATCACTAAATGCTGACAGCAAACCAAACATGATCCTGCAGCGATGCACTTTGAAATACAAGCAGGATATCTTTAAATCTCCGACATTTTGAACGTAGTTCCAGGAGACAGGAAGATGTTTACCATTAGTGAAAGCATTTAGCAGAGAAAGCAGCCCTACCTGTCCATGTGGCTGCAGTATGTGTCTATTGAAATAGTTCAGCTGTCATCGGTCACATCATCGGAATGAAACCCAAACCTACCGAACATGCAGAACCGAGCCCGGATCCAGAACCCCCTCGGTGTCCTAGGGGCGGAGCGGGATCCACCGCTGCTCTCCGCGGGCCAAGCTGAGCCGGAGCCGGGCTCTAACCTGAAATGACCCGAACCGGAGCCGCGCGCTCTGCGGGGCGGGAGCGCGCCTGCGGAGGTCCGCGGCGGCCGAGAAGAAGCCGAACCTGGAGCCGAAAACCCGAAGAAACGGGGAAAAAACCCCACGGAGGAAGAACAACACGACGAGGCAGAGAGAGTTGTGGTTGGGACAGGAGCCCAGCCTCGCCCTCAGAGCCAGGCTGCAGCTGGCCTCCATTCAGGCCTCATTTAGCTTTTATTTATTATATTTATGTATCTGCCTGCTCATTAGCGGCTGGTCGCTCCATATGAAATTATTACTACCTTAGGATGTTCGATAGTGTTAACCTTATAAAGAACACCCGCTTTAAACTTTATTTACAGATTTGATTTCTTATACTAATTATTTAAATAATAAAAGAAGCATTTAAATCAAAGTTAAATAAATAACATGACTAGATTCAAAAATCTGTTTTGCAACCCAAATTTTCAGTAAGTAAGGAAAAGGCCTCCTGACTGCGTCAGAAAGTTATTGACCCCCAAAGCTAAGAAGAGTTGCCTTTTTATTGCTGCTATCAAGTGTTTCCTGTCAGTCACTGCTGAGGGATTTCATTCTCCTCTGATTTCTTAAATTCTTTATATTCAGTTCAGTTTATTTCTATAGCTCCAATTCACATCATGTCATCTCAGGTCACTTTCCAGTTCACCAGATCATCCAGTCAGATTGATTCAAAGTTTTCTATCTAAGGAAAACCAGCTGATTGCATCGACTCATTGACTCTTCAGCAATCCCTCACACTGAGCATGCTTGTAGCGACAGTGGAGAGGAAAAACTCCCTTTGAACAGGAAGAAACCTCCAGCAGAACCAGGCTCAGTGTGAGCGGCCATCTGCTGAGGCCCACTGGGGTTCAAGGAGACAGAAGCAGACATAGAAAAAGAAGCATGACATGATCACTCTACAGTCAATGAAATGTCCCAACTACAACCACAACAAGACATGCCCCCATTACAACCAATGACATGCCCCAACTACAACCAATGACATGCCCCCACGACAACCAATGACATGCTCCAACTACAACCAATGACATGCCCCCATTACAACCAATGACATGCCCCAACTACAACCAATGACATCCCCCCACTACAACCACAACCAGACATGCCCCCATTACAACCACAACCAGACATGCCCCCATTACAACCAATGACATGCCCCAACTACAACCAATGACATGCCCCCATTACAACCAATGACATGCCCCAACTACAACCAATGACATGCCCCAACTAAACCAATGACATGCCCCCATTACAACCAATGACATGCCCCAACTAAACCAATGACATGCCCCCACTACAACCAATGACATGCCCCAACTACAACCAATGACATGCCCCCATTACAACCAATGACATGCCCCAACAACAACCAATGACATGCCCCCACTACAACCACAACCAATGACATGCCGCCATTACAACCAATGACTTGCCCCAACTACAACCAATGACATGCTCCCACTACAACCAATGACATGCCCCAACTACAACCAATGACATGCCCACTCTACAACCAATGACATGCCCCCACTACAATCAATGGCATGCCCCCACTACAACCAGTGACATGCCCCAACAACAACCAATGACATGCCCCAACTACAACCACAACCAATGACATGCCCCAACTACAACCAATGACATGCCCCAACTACAACCAATGACATGCCCACTCTGCAACCAATGACATGCCCCCACTACAATCAATGGCATGCCCCCACTACAACCAGTGACATGTCCCCACTACAACTAGGGACATGCCCCCACTACAACCAGTGACATGCCCCCACTACAACCAGGGACATGCCCCCACTACAACCTATGACATGCCTCAACTACAGCCAGTGACATGTTCACTCTACAGCCAATGACATGTCCCGACTACAACCAACGATATATCCTCACAACAAGCAACGACATGCCCCCCCTCACAATCAAAGACATGCCCAATCTACAGCCAATGACGTGCCCCAACTACAGCCAGTGACATGCCCCCACTACAACCAATGACATGCCCCAACTACAACCAAAGACATGTCCACTCTACAGCCAATGACATGTCCCGACTACAACCAATGACATGCCCCAACTACAACCAACGATATACTTTAAACTTTACAACTTTATTTACAGATTTGATTTCTTATACTAATTATTTAAATAATAAAAGAAGCATTTAAATCAAAGTTAAATAAATAACATGACTAGATTCAAAAATCTGTTTTGCAACCCAAATTTTCAGTAAGTAAGGAAAAGGCCTCCTGACTGCGTCAGAAAGTTATTGACCCCCAAAGCTAAGAAGAGTTGCCTTTTTATTGCTGCTATCAAGTGTTTCCTGTCAGTCACTGCTGAGGGATTTCATTCTCCTCTGATTTCTTAAATTCTTTATATTCAGTTCAGTTTATTTCTATAGCTCCAATTCACATCATGTCATCTCAGGTCACTTTCCAGTTCACCAGATCATCCAGTCAGATTGATTCAAAGTTTTCTATCTAAGGAAAACCAGCTGATTGTATCGACTCATTGACTCTTCAGCAATCCCTCACACTAAGCATGCTTGTAGCGACAGTGGAGAGGAAAAACTCCCTTTGAACAGGAAGAAACCTCCAGCAGAACCAGGCTCAGTGTGAGCGGCCATCTGCTGAGGCCCACTGGGGTTCAAGGAGACAGAAGCAGACATAGAAAAAGAAGCATGACATGATCACTCTACAGTCAATGAAATGTCCCAACTACAACCACAACCAGACATGCCCCCATTACAACCAATGACATGCCCCAACTACAACCAATGACATGCCCCCACGACAACCAATGACATGCTCCAACTACAACCAATGACATGCCCCCATTACAACCAATGACATGCCCCAACTACAACCAATGACATCCCCCCACTACAACCACAACCAGACATGCCCCCATTACAACCACAACCAGACATGCCCCCATTACAACCAATGACATGCCCCAACTACAACCAATGACATGCCCCCATTACAACCAATGACATGCCCCAACTACAACCAATGACATGCCCCAACTAAACCAATGACATGCCCCCATTACAACCAATGACATGCCCCAACTAAACCAATGACATGCCCCCACTACAACCAATGACATGCCCCAACTACAACCAATGACATGCCCCCATTACAACCAATGACATGCCCCAACAACAACCAATGACATGCCCCCACTACAACCACAACCAATGACATGCCGCCATTACAACCAATGACCTGCCCCAACTACAACCAATGACATGCTCCCACTACAACCAATGACATGCCCCAACTACAACCAATGACATGCCCACTCTACAACCAATGACATGCCCCCACTACAATCAATGGCATGCCCCCACTACAACCAGTGACATGCCCCAACAACAACCAATGACATGCCCCAACTACAACCACAACCGATGACATGCCCCAACTACAACCAATGACATGCCCCAACTACAACCAATGACATGCCCACTCTACAACCAATGACATGCCCCCACTACAATCAATGGCATGCCCCCACTACAACCAGTGACATGCCCCCACTACAACTAGGGACATGCCCCCACTACAACCAGTGACATGCCCCCACTACAACCAGGGACATGCCCCCACTGCAACCTATGACATGCCCCAACTACAGCCAGTGACATGTTCACTCTACAGCCAATGACATGTCCCGACTACAACCAACGATATATCCTCACAACAAGCAACGACATGCCCCCCCTCACAATCAAAGACATGCCCAATCTACAGCCAATGACGTGCCCCAACTACAGCCAGTGACATGCCCCCACTACAACCAATGACATGCCCCAACTACAACCAAAGACATGTCCACTCTACAGCCAATGACATGTCCCGACTACAACCAATGACATGCCCCAACTACAACCAACGATATACCCTCACAACAATCAACGACATACCCCCCTCACAATCAAAGACATGCCCAATCTACAACCAATGACATGCCCCCACTAGAACCAATGACATGCCCCCACTAGAACCAATGACATGCCCCAACTACAACCAGTGACATGCCCCCACTAGAACCAATGACATGCCCCCACTACAACCAGTGAAATGCCACCACTAGAACCAATGACATGCCCCAACTACAACCAGTGACATGCCCCCACTAGAACCAATGACATGCCCCAACTACAACCAGTGACATGCCCCCACTAGAACCAATGACATGCCCCAACTACAACCAGTGACATGCCCCCACTAGAACCAATGACATGCCCCAACTACAACCAGTGACATGCCCCCACTACAACCAATGACATGCCCCAACTACAACCAGTGACATGCCCCCACTACAACCAATGACATGCCCCAACAACAACCAATGACATGCCCCAACTACAACCAGTGACATGCCCCCACTAGAACCAATGACATGCCCCAACTACAACCAATGACATGCCCCAACTACAACCAGTGACATGCCCCCACTAGAACCAATGACATGCCCCAACTACAACCAGTGACATGCCCCCACTAGAACCAATGACATGCCCCAACTACAACCAGTGACATGCCCCCACTACAACCTATGACATGCCCCAACTACAACCAGTGACATGCCCCCACTAGAACCAATGACATGCCCCAACTACAACCAGTAACATGCCCCCACTAGAACCAATGACATGCCCCCACTACAACCAGTGAAATGCCACCACTAGAACCAATGACATGCCCCAACTACAACCAGTGACATGCCCCCACTAGAACCAATGACATGCCCCAACTACAACCAGTGACATGCCCCCACTAGAACCAATGACATGCCCCAACTACAACCAGTGACATGCCCCCACTACAACCAATGACATGCCCCAACTACAACCAGTGACATGCCCCCACTACAACCAATGACATGCCCCAACAACAACCAATGACATGCCCCAACTACAACCAGTGACATGCCCCCACTAGAACCAATGACATGCCCCAACTACAACCAATGACATGCCCCAACTACAACCAGTGACATGCCCCCACTAGAACCAATGACATGCCCCAACTACAACCAGTGACATGCCCCCACTAGAACCAATGACATGCCCCAACTACAACCAGTGACATGCCCCCACTACAACCTATGACATGCCCCAACTACAACCAGTGACATGCCCCCACTA